TCATTTTTACCAATACTGTCATGAACAGATACATCTGTAACAGATAGACTGGTGAGGATGAGTAGATTTTACCCTAATGTGTTCCTTCACCATCTGTCTAGAAGCTTTTATTTAGGACTAAGCCAGCTCAATCTGTACTGCTAGCAAGCCATTCTTGGTGATGGACACTGAAATTCCCCACACAGAGGACAATCTGTGCCCTTGCCACCTTCAGTGTTTCTTCCAAGTAGATATTAAACAAGGAGGAGTACTGATTCCTCAGTCAAAATGGAATGGGAAAATTTCCTTGCCCATATGTGACCTGATACAGTAAAACTACATGGTGTCTGGAGTCAATATTGAGGACAACTTCCTCCTGACTGTACCACTGTGCTGCCACCTGTGGTTGATCATATATTAGAATTGTGATTGTGGTGTCTGGGACGTAGGCATATTTCAGTAAAGATACTTGACAATGTCAAACTGTTGCTTGATTAGTCTGTGGGACAGCACTCCAAAATTTGGCACAACTCCAAGACATTAGTTAAAAGAATTTTGCACAGTCAACAGGTCATGTTTTGCCGCTGGCATTTCCAATGCCAAGTTCAATGCCAGGTGGTCCACCGAGTTTTACTTTACTCTTTACAGCAGTTGCATAAAATCGAGTTGCTTGTTCAGCCAGTTCAGAGTCCACTTAAGAATGTAGAGTGCAAAAGAAAGAACCTACTTGTAGGTTTGCTCCTTAGCCTGGCCAAGGTGGCCACGAACAGGTTCAGGCAATGGGCTGTGGAGATGGTTACGTCCACCTCCAGGTGTCTCTGGAAAGGGAGCATGCAGTGTCCATTTGAGGATGTTTGTGACAAGTGAGCATCTCAGAGGCCAGAGTGTATCAGCTCCCAAAGTCACATGTTAAATTAATAAGTATCTGTGAAAACTTTCTTTTTGTTGCTGTACTGTATAAGGGCTGAGCATTAGTTAACCTGTTTATTAGTTTTGTTGATGCACTCCAAAGAGTATGAAATAAGGGACTGCTTGAACACAGAAGGGTGAGAGCTTAGGAAGCAGAGATCTGTAATGGAGCATCCTGTGAATGAACCCAACAACAATGAAAAACATGTACATCTTGCTTTGTACTTCACCATCTAATTTGGATTCATTTAACACTGCACAGTCTTCCTTTTACGATAACACGTGTGATTCCCTCTGATTGCTCTATTCTACTTCACTCTCAGGAAGTGCATTACAGACTTTAACTATTCACAGAGTGAAAAGGTTTTTCTTCATATCACTTTTGTTTCTTTTAAGAATTAATTTCAATCTGTGCCTTTGCAATCTTAATTCTTTCATAATTGGTAACAGTTTCTCTGGATGTACTTGGTTCCAGAACGGTCACGAGTTTGAACCCTTCAGCTAACACACCACCCAATTAAGGTGATAACAAGGTGTAGAGCTGGATGAATACACCAGGCCAGGCAGCATCAGAGGAGCAGGAAAGCTGACATTTTGGGTCTGGACCCTTCTTCAG